AAAAAAGAATCAACCAGTGAGGCGTCGGTAAGTGGAGCAGTAAGTCGATGTTCCCTCCCTCCCTCCCTCCCTCTCTCTCAACCGATCAATTAAAAAAAAGTTTTTTTTAAGTGCATCGTATCTGGTGATGTCACTGAAAAAGTCACGGAGTCACGTCAATGGTTTTCCTGCCAAAAGTGCACGATAAGTGCTGGTTATGTAAGAGAATATCACTGTTTTGAGGAAATTCCGAACTGGAGGATGGGCACGTCTGTAACTTACTCTGAAATCGTTTAGAAAAAATAATGGGGGGGAGCAATTGATTGATGATTGATTGATTGATTGATTTCCATTTTTACCCACCTCTCACTGGACTTAGAATATTGTCACTGGGTTGAGCAAACATACACGGTTTAGGTCGGGAAGGAAAAGACACTGAGTGAGACGTTACAGCTGAAGGGTTGTCAAGCGTAAGAGACACACTGGGTGCTTTTCCCTAAAGGGAACGGAAGCCGATCTAGGGGCGGTCAAGGCTTTGGCGCAGTTCAGGAAAGGAATTCTCGCCGTCAAGGCCGCCCAGCCAGAGGGTGGGCTCTCTGAGGGAGCAGCCAGGTGCCAAAAACGCCCAGGCGGGCGCTGGATGCCCGCCCGGCAGGAGGTGCCGCGGGCTTCCTGCCCCGACAGAGAGCGGAGGCAGGGCTCTCACCTCGCCAACCGCGAGCTATTTCTCTCTGTTCCTGGACCGATCTTGGCTGAGACCTCTCAGGAGACCCATCTCACGGGGTAAGTGGATGATGCCCTCATTTCCCCGAGATACAGATTAAATTCTCTCCGGAGAAACACGGGGAGACGAGTTGAAGATGCCCCTTCTCGCCCGTTAACATCGGTGCCACTTGTCGTGTTCAACGCCTCAGAGCAAAGGGTCGGTGGGCAAACGGTGCCCATTCAGGGTCGCCCGGTAGATGCTGCTCACGGGCAGGGCTCTGGCCAGCTGACTCTCGGGCACGAACGCCCACGTCCTGCAGCGCCGCCCTCCCGTGACTGTGTTTCTCCGTGAACCACGCTGCTCACGCTGCTCACGAGACGGCAGGGGCCCCCCGCTGAGTGTAGGGGAGATCCCGAGCTGTGCTCAGATCGGCACCGGCCTCAGCTCCAAGTCAGAGTCTCCCCTCGGGCCACGTAAGTGCCCACGAGTGAGACAATCACGTGAAAATCCCGTGATTGACTCCAGATGGGTTTTCTCATAAATATTAACGAAATGCTTTCTTTTCCCTGCTTGTTTGTCAAATTCTAAATTGTCAGGCTTGGCTGAGCCCCACTGAGATTTCTGACCCACTTCTTCAGTTGGTTTAATTAATTTTTTTTTGTTGTTTACGTGTTTCGGCATTTCATTGAGCCACGGCCCTGACCGGAGAGTGACGAGCTTTATTCGCTGTTTGTGGGAAGTTTAAATCGCCTTTATTACATCTTTAATGAATTATTTTTCTGTATCAAAAATCCTTCGCTCTTTGGCTAGTCCCAGCCACAAAGCACAAGGGTTCTTTCCTGCCGAAATGAGGGTCCAGCCTGCCCAATGTCTGACGTTTAAAAGAAAACTGAGGATTAAGCTGGAAGTATTAAAAGGAAAGAACCACCTGCTGAAAAGATGCCACAAAAGCAGGGCACAGGGGCCGGGGCAGTGGGAGGTTAGGGGCTTTTCTCTCTTATCTGCTTATAGGTCAGTGTTATCCTAATGACCTTCATACTCTCTGTGAGCCGAGGGGGGTAATGCGGGGAAAACCTTTAATTATCTGAGAGAAAGCCCCCTATCAAATCCCAACGACCCGATTCGTGGTTTCCTGCTAATCCTCAGTGAACTGTCACGTTTACCAACCTCTGAAATAGCCACCTGTCCACCCCACCCCACCCCGACCTGACATCAGTCCGTCTTTCCCTGAGAACGGCTTGGGGGGGGTGCGAAAGCTCACCCTCCTCTCAAACCTGACAAGAGGAGACTCGTCCAGCTGAGGACGAGCAAACGTAGAGGCAAGAGCGGGACGAAGCGAGGGCCAGCGCTCTAAGGGCCGAGCACCTGGCCGGGAAAATCGGGGTTCCTCTATCCCCGCGGAACGGCACTGACCTCGCACCCCACATGGTCACCATCGTACGTTGCTGCCTATCTGCCCTTAGGTACCATGATACGCACACACTGAGGAGCACCCCCCGCTTTACCCCAGCTGCCCGACAGACAACGTCCGTAACAGACCTCCACAGCCCCCTCCCCTCGCTTCTGGAAAGGCCTGTGTGCGTGAGAGTGAATGCAAGGATTTCAGCCCATCGTTCCTGGGAGCAGAAACCATCTTCAGCCACACGGCACACATCCTACAACATCTCCATCCCACGAGACTCTTGCCCAGGGACAGGAAGAGCGTTGTCGTCCGCTTCAGGGACGTCACGAAAATCCGTTCCTCCGAACTACTGCGGGTTCGGGGGATCCCGGCCAGGGTGGCAGCCCCCGCCCAGAACCGGAGGCCACTCAGCTGGGCTTTTCGAGCTCCCGTTTCCTCTCCAAGCTTTGCTTCCGAACCCGCCCCTCAGCGTGTCCCCCGGCCCTGAGCAATTATACCACAAACATTTTTTGGTCTCAATCAGGACCTACCCCCAGCCCCACTTAGAGACCCACTTTGAACCACAGCACCCACACTCTACCATAGTCTCCCCCTTTGGAGATGTTACTAAATTTCAAGACGACGGTGACTGTAACTCCATGAAGCAACAGGCTTGTTACACTTGGCAACAAATTATTTGTGTGGTCTTCCCAGGAGGCACCACGGAAGACCTTTCTGGACAAAGGAGACTTTTACCAAGACTTCGCAATCCTATTCCACGAACAAGAAGCTTTCTACATTGTTGCCATCCTAACACCAGCTGCAATTACCGAGTGTTTAGTGACCGATTGTTTCCTGTGTGCTCAGCACTGGGCTGATCACTTTGCATGATCATCTCATTTGTCTCACGGAAAGGCTTTGAGATGAGCACACGCTCCTCCCTTTACAAAGGACGGCACAGAGGCTGAGAGAAGTTAAACAACTTAAGTCCGCGGGGCTTAGAAGCGGCGTATCTGGGATTCAAATGGAATCCCCATCTGCCGCCCAGCTGACACCCGGGTTGTTATCCCCAAAGCTTTTTGATGCTGGTTAGAAGAGCAGACACCATTCTGTACCCAGATAAAGACTCCGAACTGTGAGCAGGAGAACCAGCTTCCGGAGGAGGGCTCCTGAAAGGCGGGAGGAGATAAAACCGGTGGGAACGTGAAGCCTCAGGGGCTCCAGGGGGAGGCTTTCCGCCAAATTTAACTTGGCTCAGTCCCTCTACCCAGCCTCCCGCATTCATTTTCTCTGCCCCTCCCAGGCCCCTGAAATCGTGGGGAGGGTTGATTTTTAATAGGAAACTCAGGAAGGCTTGAAGGTTCGAATACATCGCCTATCACTCCTCAGGTCACTGGAGGAGAAGCATCGGAGCCTCCTGGACGCCCAGCCAGTGACCGCGCGAGGCCAGCCCAGCAGTCGGGCCCAGACGTGATTGCAACGCCACCGAGAGGGGCAGGACGACTGGGCTCTCGCTCGTTTCCTCCCCGGCAGCTGCCGCAGCGGGCTACGTACTGAAATACAACTAATCTTAATGTCACTGGCGATGGGCACTGCCCTCGATTATTATTAGCTCACGTAAGAATATGGAATTAGCGTGCGGATATTCTGTCTCTCTGTAGAACAGACGCATTTTGGTCAACCAACGGGCCATGAAGGAAATTCAGGTTTCAGGCAAATCTCGCTCTCCCATTAGGTGCCCTCGTAAAACTAAAGATGCTTTTCCCCTAAGCTCCAGAAATCGTGGCCGAGAAGGCGAAGAGACGATCTGACCACCACTGTTTTAAATCTAGTGGACCGTCCCGTGCTCTGTAGCCCAGCCAGCAGCATCCTGGCTTCTGCCCACCGAACGCCACCCAGCAGACGTGGCAACCAGGCCTTGCTAAACAAGTGTTCCCTCGG